TTTTGGCTTGATAGCTATTGTGGCGGTTATTAAAGAAGTCATTACCATGATTTTAAATGTTTTCTGCAATTTAAATTAACTACACTTTCAGTACATCATCTGTGTAAAAAACAGTGTGCAGAAAATTTAATGATAATAATCATAAAGAAAGAAATGCAAGAAATACGCCTGGCATGACTGTATGAAATTTATTTCCTCTTTTGTCATCACATTCTGTTCAAACCTGCCAAACTGTCAATAAATGTGTCACTGTTAATTTCTGTGCCTTTTTAGCACCACATAAAGAATATATATAAATATCACATGTGGTGATGTGCTATACAAATAAACCTTACTTGATTTGACGAATAAAAAAAATGTGGTCATCATTAACAAAATGCATGTGTAATAGTGTGCTCCAGAAAATTTTCATGTAACGTTACTACTACTGCTAAAATGTGATCTTTGCATAAATTTTTAATTTTTAATCACATTGGGGAGTGAGAGGGGGACTCAAGGTTAAGACTGCATTCATCAGCACTACTCAAGGGAGGATCATTCTACACTAGGGGAATATTGCTCACCACAAAGCCAAATTATGTGATTTGGTGAATTTAAAATTTAATTTACTGATTAATTAGTAAATTAAATGTGAAATTTGCCTTCAGTTTTTACATTTTGTTGCAGTTATGTATGTTGTTAACTTGCATGAATGGAGAGCAGCCAAGTTAAACACACCTCCAACATCCAATGAATACAGAATCATCAGAGCTACTGAGTCTGAGGATACAGTTGCCGGGGCAGAAGGGACTATTTCTTATCAGAGTGGAGTGATATCATCACACTGACTGTGTCATGTGAGTTAGCAAGAGCACTAGCTGTTGATACATGCAGCATTGATTCTGCAAGAAACTGTCAAGTCTTATATGGCATGCTTACACCTCTGTTACTTTGCTGGGCTGGAGTTCATTAACACGTGAAAATTTAGCCCGGGTATGTATGGCACCTCTCTTTTTCAGTATAATTTGATATGTTATTCATCTATTAAGGATTTTTTAAAGTGCTTATAAAACTTGGTTTTGTTGGTCGCAGTCTCTCCCAGCTGTCTTCAAGTCAAGTCAAGTGGCTTTTATTGTCATTTCAGCCATGTACACTTGTACAGTACAGAGTGAAATGAGACTGCGTTCCTCCGAGACCCTGCTGCTCACATATAACGGACAAACACAGAACTACGTAAAGTGCAATGTAAACAAAAATAAACAAGACAAGACAGTGCAACACCAGACAGAGCAGGATGATACAGACACAAGACAGTGCAATGGAAGAAAGCAAAATGCTGAGTATTGTGCAAAAATAACTTGGTGTGTGTGTGTGTGTGTGTGTGTGTGTGTGTGTGTGTGTGTGTGTGTGTGTGTGTGTGTGTGAGAGACTGCAGATAAGTGCTTGGTAGTGACGTGTATTTAAGTGTGCATGTGTGTGTCAGTCCAATCACTGAGTGTTCAGGAGTCTGACGGCTTGGGGGAAGAAACTGTTCTGTAGTCTGGTAGTGAGGGCCCGGATGTCTTAATGTGAAAAGTACTGTGTACACCCTGTTACTTTGTTACAAAGTACTTTGAGATTACTTTGTAAACTCTAAAAGGAAATAAAAGTTTAAAGGTGCATTTATTAATCAAGCAGTTTAATATTTTTCTTTAGTGTGTCATCAACGGTTTGTGGCCCTCAGCAATGAGTGTACAGTAGTTATGCCTACAATCACCAATGATGGTTGTGAGAGTAATTATTATTGCTGGTAAACCTTGTACCAAACCTAACATGCAGACAAGTAGCAGACAAAGACAGCAAAATGTTCTCAGTGAAGTTTTCAGAGAGATAATAGTGCATTTCAAAGGTTTTGTCTGGCCTTAAAGTTCGATATGTTAAAACCCTTAACTATAACTAACAAAGAAAAAGAGTCCATCGATGAGACTCTCAGCAGCCATAATAATCACATTACTAACTTATAACATTATAACTTGGTGTTAGCTTGATATTTGTTAATAATTTGAAGACACATGAGTCTACAGGAAAAAAATTAAAACTTTTCACAAACTTACGTCTGCCTGTTCCTCATCTCCCAGCATGCTTAGATTAATTTACAGGGATCACAAATATCTTTTATAAGTTCCAGTAGAGTAACAGAATGCAGGTAGAACAGAGTTGTTGTTTTTTTTACTGTTTAGATATTTGTTGGTATTTACTGCTTTTTTTCCCCAAAGAGTTTTGCAATAAAGTTCTCAAACTTTTACACGAAAAGCATCCAATTTTGTTTCCTGTAAATTGCATCTATTCAAAACCCTGCAAGAATACCACAGACCTCGTGTGTTAACGATAAATACATGGCGTTCCTCTGCTACAACCTGCCCCATTACTGGGGTGTGTTGTAACACATGCTACAGAGAATTGTAACAATTAGAAAAAAGAAGCAAAAACTGAATCCACACCAGAGAAAGTACTTCAAGAAGTGGTTTAGTGGAATAAAGGTTTTTGTGTTTATTTCCCTACGACTGACCATAATCCAAATTCACTCTTTTGTGTGGGTGTGCAAATTAGTTTAACAGAAAAAACTTTCACAACACCGCAAATACTTAATAAATATTTTTTTTATTATTAGTCCCATGCGAAAAAGATAAGTTTCTGTGATGGGGTGTGGTCTGCAGTGTGGCTGCAGGGGATGGGTGGACCAGTGGGTTCAGGCTGTAGTGTCACTGGAGGTCACTGGATCCTATCATTATGATCATGCATCCCCTATTTTTACGGTAGCTGCCAGGGCTGGAAGTGGAGACCGGTAGCTGAGCATGGGTCATACTTGCTACAGTCTCATTTAAAGCTTATATATTATCTGTATCAAAAATACAATAGCAGTATGCATGTAACCCTATAGTGCAGCCTTGGTGTGCCCAATGACTGCACAAATTTTACCCAAACTTCCTCCGGCTTTGGGCTGCCAAATGGCTCCATACAGACAAAGGTTTTTATCATCTGAGGTCAGAGTCTTTAGCGTTAGTTTTCATTTCTTTAACACGTTTCTCTTTCTTTTTCGTCTGATTGCCTTCAGTTTTTCCTAAGACATTCTTTTTGCATTTTTTTCTGTGACTCTGTCAGCCTTTGCAATGATTTGTAGAATTAGCTCAGTGTTATGTGGCAGATCACATGTTCTTTAGTCACTGATTTAACTGACTC